GGTGCTGAATCTGGAGCTGCTGAGCCTAGAGGTGCTGAGTCTGGAGCGGCTGTGCCTGGGGGTGCTGAGTCTGGAGCTGCTGAGCCTGGGGTTTCTCCTGCTGCTGCATCTCGCCGGGAGCCCCTCTCTCCACAGGAGCTGCGTGAGTGGTTTGCTCGCCGCTGGAGGAGTGCTGCTGGAGCTGGAGCTTCGTCGACCGTTGAGGGTGCTGGTGCTGCCGGTCCCGGAGCTGCTGGGCCTGCGGGTCCTACTGGAGCTGGAGCTGCTGAGGGTGTTGGTGCTGAGACTACTGCTGTCTGTCCTGGCGGTGGTTCTGCTGCTGGTGCTGCTGGAGGTCCTGCCGCTGGAGGTGTTGGTGGCGCTGGTGCTGTCGCTGAGGGTGCTGGTGCTGTCCCTGCTGAGTCTGGAGCTGCCGCGCGGCCTCGGCCGTACTTCGTTCCGCTCCTACAGCAGGTTCTTGGTCTTTCTCCTTCGGTAGAGTGTCCACAGCCTGTCCAGTCGCAGTCACTGTTGGAGCCTTCCTCTCCTCTGCCTGCTCCCTCTCCTTACACTGGTCCTACTGGAGGTCTTGCTGAGCGTCGTGAGCCTGCGTCTCGTCCTGCGTCGCCTGTTCGTGCTGCTCGCGCTAGTGGTCGCGGTTCGCGTCAGCGTCCTCCTCCTGTCCCTGGCACGCACCGGATGTCTCTGCGTCCGTCCACTGCTCCTCTGCGTGCCCCTTTGCCTTCTCCTCCTGAGTCCTCTCTTCCTGCGCTTGCCGACCCTGAGTCGGACTCTCTTCGCGCTGCCAGTCCTACTGTCACGCGTCTGCTTGCTACTGTCGTCACTGACCCCTCTTTTGAGTCCACTGCTGCGTCTGCTCTAGTCGCTGAGCTCGTTGACTTTGCTGCTCGCTGTCGTCTCGACTATGCTGCTGGTCTTGTTGCTGAGTCTGCGTCTGTCTGTCCTCCGTCTGTCGGAGGTGAGTGTGCTCTTGGCACGGACGTCCTAGAGGACAGACAGGAGGAGTTACAGTGTCTAGCGGCTGCTTCACCTCATCTCGCGTCTGTACTGCTTGCCCCTGAGGGAGACCCGGATGCACTAGACATCCCGACTCCGCGTTCTTACGCGGAGGCCGTAGAGGGTCCCTACTCCTCTCAGTGGCAGGCAGCTATGGATGCAGAGATGGCTTCCTGGAAGTCCACAGGCACCTACGTTGACGCGGTTCCCCCTCCTGGGGCGAACATCGTCAGTGGCATGTGGATCTTCAGGGTGAAGCGGCCGCCGGGCTCTCCACCTGTCTTCAAGGCGCGGTAAGTTGCTCCTGGCTTCAGTCAGCGGCAGGGAGTTGACTACTTTCAGACCTTCTCTCCCACCCCGAAGATGACCACTCTTCGGGTGCTGCTGCACATAGCCGCTCAGCGCGACTACGAGCTTCACTCTCTCGACTTCAGCACTGCGTTCCTGCAGGGTAGCCTGCACGAGGAGATCTGGCTGCGCCGTCCACCTGGCTTCACTGGGACTTTCCCTCCTGGCACCCAGTGGAGCCTCCGATGGCCAGTCTACGGTCTCCGCCAGGCACCACGTGAGTGGCACGACACACTGAGGACTACGCTTGCGGCTCTTGGGTTTGCTCCTTCTACTGCTGACCCGTCGGTGTTTCTGCGCACCGACACTTCACTGCCGCCGTTCTACATCCTCGTGTACGTCGACGACTTGGTCTTTGCCACATCGGACACTGCTGGACTCGCCTACGTGAAGTCCGAACTGCTGAAGAGACACACGTGCACAGACCTGAGTGAACTGCGCAGCTACCTTGGCTTGCAGATCACTCGGGACAGAGCACGCCGCACCATTACCTTGACTCAGTCACACATGGTGCAGCAGGTCCTTCAGCGCTTCGGCTTCACGTACTCCTCGCCTCAGGCCACTCCTCTGCCTACTCGCCACTCACTCTCAGCTCTGCCTTCGGATGAGTCCGTAGAGTCGAGTGGTCCGTATGCAGAGCTTGTTGGCTGCCTCATGTACCTGATGACCTGCACACGACCTGACCTTGCATACCCTCTGAGCATTCTTGCACGCTATGTTGCTCCTGGGAGACACAGACCAGAGCACATGGCTGCAGCGAAGAGGGTATTGCGCTACCTGTGCAGTACGTCGGGCATGGGGCTTGTGCTTGGAGGGCGGAGTCCAGTGGTCCTTACCGGCCACGCGGACGCTTCTTGGGCTGACGACCAGGCTACGCAGCGGTCGTCACAGGGTTACACCTTCAGCCTTGGTTCCGGCTCTGTCTCGTGGCGGTCTACTCGCTCGTCTTCGGTTCTCGGCTCCAGTTGTGAGGCTGAGATCTACGCCGGGGCCATGGCTGCACAGGAGCTTCGCTGGCTCACCTACCTGCTGACTGACCTTGGAGAGCCGCCTCGTTCTCCTCCAGTGCTGTACGTAGACAACAAGGCCATGCTGGCCTTGTGTCGAGAGCAGCGCTTGGAGCACAGAACGAAGCACATTGCTCTCCGCTACTTCCTTGCTCGTGAGCAGCAGCAGCGTGGTCAGTTGCGACTTGCGTACGTGGCCTCTGAGGCCAACACTGCTGATGTGTTCACCAAGGCACTCGCGCCTTGTGATCATCAGCGCTTTTGCACCCAGCTGGGTCTTGTGTCTGTCTTGCCTCACTTGCTCTCCTCTTGACTTTACTTGTACTGTGACATATATATACACCTGCTCTTGCTTGTCTAGTTTTATATATATGTCTGTACTCCTGCATGTGAACTGGCCTCTGGCCCTGCTCTTGTGCTCGGACTGTGTGGTGACTTTGTGATCCACCCTGAGCTTGCTTTGCTTTGCTTGACTGGTCTTGTGACCCCTTGTTCTCCCCCACTTTGCCTATGGGGGTGTGTCAAACATTATATATGTTATGCTTGTGTAGGCTACAGTGGGTTAGCCTATAGGGGGTACACAATTCTAGGGTTTACTACTTGTACTCATTTCACTTCTAGTTCATTCATTCATGTTCGCTTATTCTCACAAAAACGACCGCCGAGACACCCCCACGTCTCAACTATCAAAGGGGTGAACTGCACGCCCCGGTTGCGTGCAAGCAGAGGCGCGTAGTCACTCGTTTTGCGGCGCTCCCACTCCCTTGCCGCCACACCTATTTGACGCCCGCACTGTCCCAGCAGTGATGGAGACAGCGATAGCGGGTCCGCGACGCTGATCTCTAGGGCGTGAGCTTCTCCAGCCATTGGACGTCGCACCGCCACATCAACCCGCTTCCCATGCAGCACCACACTATCCTCCATTGTCACCACCCCCCCCGACGCCTTAGAGATCTTCGCCACCACAAACTTCACCTCATCATGCACCCGAGAAGGACCATGCTGATGCCTGCATCTCAGGGCATGGTGCGGATCTGCTGGGTCAACATGTGATAATTTAGAAGAAAGAAGAGAGGATTGCACTAGCAAGAATGAGGATACAAATAGCAAACCCTAGAAGGGTTGTACTCGCTATAGAGCACCCCACTACAGGCTAGAGCATAATATTCTGACACACCCCCATAGCCAAAGTGGGGTGTAATCAGCAGAGCAAGCAAAGTTGTATAAGCTCAGGGTGGATCATAATGTCACCACACATTCTGAGCACAAGTTCAATAAGCAATAGTTTAAAGTTAACAATTATGAGCAAAGCTAGAGGCTATCGCAGAGGGCTAGTGTGGAGGAGGAGGGACTATGAGAGGAGAGGAGGTAGTGGGCGGCAGCTGAAGCTGCTGGCACGCGGCGCAACTGGAGCAACTAGCACACGGGCAACTGGAGCAACTGGCACACTGGCAACTGGAGCAACTTGCACACGGGCTACTGGAGTAACTGGCTCCGCGGCTAACAGTAGCGGCAGACGAGCAACGGATTACGGGCGACTGGAGCAACGGGCTCACGGGCGACTGGCGCAACGGGCTCATGGTCGACTGGCGCAACGGTCTCACGGGCGACTGGAGCTGCTAGCTTCTCGGCGGCCACCCCCTTCAACCTCCCCAAACTATCCCACCCCCATTTCACACACCCCCTACTGCACCCCTAGGGTCACTCACACCACACCCCCTAGCACCACTCCGTTGACTCCCACACACCCACCCCCCTCAGCGGCAGCTGCAGTAGTGGGAGACAGAGGAGGAGGAGGAGCAAGGGAGACCACACACCCGCCACCCCCCAGGTGCCCCCGAAGGAGCCGCGACGGGCGACGGGAAAAGGGGGGGGGGGGGGGGGGGGGGGTGCAGGTGCCCCCGGTGCCCCGCGGCTGGCGACGAGGCATGGCCGGGGCGGGGCTGGGGCCGCAAGTGGCGGCGACGGGGCCGCTGGCGGCGACGACGAGGCCGCTGGCGGCGGTTCGGGGCCGATAGGAGCGGCGACGGGGGGCGACGCGCGGGTCCCCGTCGCCCGTCGCAGCGCCTCCCAGGGGCGACGCGCCGAGTGACGGGGCAGAAACCCGTCGCACGCCTCGGGGAGCACGGCGGGCAGAAAACCGCCGCGCGCCTCGGGGCGCACGGCGGGCAGAAAACCGCCGCGCGCCTCGGGGCGCACGGCGGGAAGAAAAACTGCCGCACGCCACGGGGCGTGCGGCACAGAGAGAAGCAGTAGCAGTTGCAGCGGAAGCAACGAGGTGGCGAGCCCACCCACAGGATCGATCCAAGGGGATCGACCTGCTCTGATAGCATGTGATAATTTAGAAGAAAGAAGAGAGGATTGCACTAGCAAGAATGAGGATACAAATAGCAAACCCTAGAAGGGTTGTACTCGCTATAGAGCACCCCACTACAGGCTAGAGCATAATATTCTGACACAACAAACGCTGTGCCACAAACACCCCTCCCCGCCACCTGCAGCTGCTGGATTGGGAGGCCGAGCCGTATAGCAGCAGGAATGCCCCACTCAGCCGCAGTGAATGTGAGATCTGAGTGAGCCGGAGCCGCCGAAACCCATGTACCTGCCCCCGGGCCTTGAAGGGATGTGAAACGGGCCAAGGTGGCATCGTCACGAGCCAAGCGGCGCAGTGCCTGGAGCTCCTCTACAGCTAAGTGCCGCTGCCGCGCTTGGAAAAGCCGAACAGGAGGGGCCGCTACACACAGAGGTAAGCCCGGTATCTCGTGGCGGATAGTCGCTGGCAGCTGCTCAAGAGCCTTGACAAACCACGGGTCAAGAAACTCTGCCCCTGTCGAAGTGGTGAGGTACTCTGCAAACATCGCCTCCTCACCCGCCACCCCTAACTGTGCAATGTCACGCGCGGCCTGCGCCCACCCACAAACATAGGACAGTGAGGCCGCCGCCCGGATCCCGAACCCTCCGAGACGCACAGGGAGATGCAGCTGTATGCGTGCGCGCCTAGACCGGTCGGGGTCCTGCTCCCAAGTGCCAGGTGGAAAAAGCTGCTCAAAGCAATCCTCTAAACAGCTGTCCCAATCCCTAAAAGCCTCAACTACCTCCGGACGCGGCGGCATAGTCCGGGCGAGGTACATCGGCCGCGCTGAAACTGCAATGGCGAGGAGGTGTGAAGCCATCTGGGGGTGGTCGAGCAAGGGGAGCCATGGCAGTGGCGCCTGCAACTGTCGAAGCCGCTCCCGTAGCCGGACCACCTCCCAAACCTCCTCTCCAATAGGCACGCCCACCACAGTAAGACCCTCATCCATCCGCTGCATCCCCAATGGCAGTGCCTGCTCCACCTCCTTGCCCTCGCGCTCCCAAAACCGGCACTTGTGCGCCTGCACCTCCAGCCCCACCCACTCCAACCGCTCCCGAAGCACCCCAAAAGCCTCCAGAATCCTAGCCGCTGGCCCTAAAATATAGGTATCGTCTGCATAGCTGAGGAAAAGCAGGTCCTTGAACTCCCTAGTAACCGGCTCCATCACCTGCTGCTGAGTGAACGCGAAAAGAAAAGGGCCGAGCGGGTCCCCCTGCCTTGATCCCCGTGCTGACTCGAGGCTCTGTACGAAAGGGCTTGCTCGGAGGTACAGGTCGCTAGGTGTCCCATAAAAGACACGCAAGAATGGGATCATCCCTGAGAAAGGCGACTCCCGCAACCCATCGAACATCACATGATGGTGAAACGAACTGAAGGCGTTTGCGACGTCTATCTGTAGCGCACACCAGTCGGGGTGAGTGGCCAGCACCGACCGGAAAGAGTGAGTGAGAATCTCCGCCCCGACCCTGGTGCCCGCTCCCAGCTGGTTGCACGGCAGGAAGTAGGAAACCATTGCAGGGCGGAGCGAGATGCAGAGAGCTTGAGCAAGGATACGAGGAAGCACCTCCCTGATCGCCACCGGCCGGACGTCGCCGTTAGGCTTGGAAAGCCCGACTAGGTTGGATGCGGCGAGCCACGGCCGAGCCCGCTCGGGGACCTGTCCTGCCACCCATTGGTTGAACACTTCCAACAAGTGGGAAAGGCAGGAAGGTTCAGCGAGGAAGGTGTCGCGCAGATGCTCTGTGACCCACCCCGATGGCCCTGCTGCTGAAGCTCGAGCGGCTGTATGGATAGCTCTGGCCAGGATGTCGGTCGTGAGTGAAGGCCGCTGAGCAGTATCGATGGTGAAATCGCAGACCCACTGTGGTACCTCGCCAGCGCTAGCCGGGTGCTTCTCTCGCAGCGACTGCATCATGACCTCAGACGGTCGAGCCAACTCCCCTGCTGTAAGGCAGGCCAATCCACGGCTCCACTCCCCCACTTTGCACCGAGATCGGCACCGTGACAGGCGGATGGCATCCGGACCCTGGTCAGAGCAAGTGTAGGAAAGTGGGCGAACTGCTGGCCGCGCCGCCACCATGGCAGAATCAAACAGCTCCCGCCACCTCCCCTCCCAGAACGCACCCAACCGCTCTGTGATCAGCTCCTTCTGACCTATGCCTGGCTTGGGAGGCATGGCTAGGATGAGGCGCGGAAACGCCAAGAGTAGGAGGGTAGCGGCTTCATCTCCCGGCTAGCTCTTCAAGCGCTTAAGGATGCAACAGAGCGCGTCTAAAACCCCCGACCTGGCACGCTGTGGGATCCGGCGCACTGTCCTCCCTCCAACCGCCTCCACGCTGAAAACTGTTTCCCCTTCCCATGACGTAACCCCAGCCCACGCCTCCTCCCCAAATTCCTGCGGCGTCGATCGCTCCTGCGTGTCGGTCTCAACCAGAGACGGAATCGAGCCGAGAGCCTGTGCACGCCTCTCCGCCTCCGCCGCTCGGCATACCCTCATGTGGTTCGCAGCGCCCCCCCGCGTAGCGAAAGTGTGGAAACACGTGTCGCACGGAAAGCGGGGGCATGGGGAAGGCGGCATGGGAGGTGCTTCGTCCGCCTCTGACTCCTCCACAGTCGCCATGGGGGTATCAAGCTCCAAAAGTCGACACCACTCCTCCAACTGTTGCTCCTGGTCGTCCATCGATCGCCCCCCTGATTGCTGTGCTCCTTGGGGTGCCCAGGGCACCCTCGGCTGCCCCCCTGGCTGCTGCACTCCCTGGGGTGCCCCAGTCACCCCCGGCTGCCCCCCTACCTGCTGCTCCCCCTGGAGTGCTCCGAGCACCCTCGGCTGCCCTCCTGCCTGCTGCACTCCCTGCCCTCCTCCTTGCTGCACTCCCTGGGGTTCCCCAGGCACCATCGACTGCCCTCCTGCCTGCTGCACTCCCTGGGGTGCTCCAGTCACCCCCGGCTGCTCCCCTACCTGCTGCTCGCCGTGGGGTGCTCGGGTCACCCCCGGCTGCCCCCCTAGCTGCTGCTCTCCCTGGGGTGCTCCGGTCGCCCCCGGCTGCCCCCCAGCCTGCTGCTCTCCCTGTGGTGCTCCAGGCATCCTCAGCTGCCCTCCTACCTGCTGCACTCCCTGGGGTGCCCCGGGCACCCTCGGCTGCCCTCCTGCCTGCTGCACTCCCTGGGGTGCCCGGGGCACCCTCGGCTGCCCTCCTGCCTGCAGCACTCCCTGGGGTGCCCCGGGCACCCTCGGCTGCCCTCCTGCCTGCTGCACTCCCTGGGATGCCCCGGGCACCCCCGGCTGCCCTCCTGCCTGCTGCACTCCCTGGGGTGCTCCGGGCACCCCCGGCTGACCCCCTGCCTGCTGCACTCCCTGGGGTGCCCCGGGCACCCCCGGTTGCCCCCCTGCCTGCTGCACTCACTGGGGTGCCCCGGGCACCCCCGGCTGCCCTCCTGCCTGCTGCACTCCCTGGGGTGCCCCGGGCACCCCCGGTTGCCCACCTGCCTGCTGCACTCCCCGGGGCGCCCTGGGCACCCTCGGCTGCCCTCCTGCCTGCTGCACTCCCTGGGGTGCTCCGGGCACCCCCTGCTGCCCTCCTGCCTGCTGCACTCCCTGGGGTGCCCTGGGCACCCCCGGCTCCCCACCTGCCTGCTGCACTCCCTGGGGCGCCCCGGGCACCCCCGGCTGACCCCCTGCCTGCTGCACTCGCTGGGGCGTGAGAGACTCGCGCGGACGTGCTGGAGCTGCATCTGGCCACCGCCAGTAGTAGCAGTAGTAGTAGTAGCAGCAGTAGCAGTAGTAACAGCAGTAACAGCAGTAGCAGCAGTAGCAGAAGTAGCAGCGCGGCCACCCCTACAACCCCAACTAGCGTACCACTCACTAAGTTGCTGGGGCGTGAGGGACTCACGCGGACGTCGCTGGAGCTGCATCTGGCCACCGCGAGTAGCAGCAATAGCAGTAGTAGCAGCAGTAGCAGCAATAGTAGCAGCATCAGCGCGTGCAGGGCAGGCGCGGCAGGCAGGCAGGCTGGCAGGCAGATGGCGCGGTAGTGCGCAAACAAGGCAGGTGCTCACCAGTGGCGGGAAGAGAAGGCGCTCGCCGGGCGAGCAGGGCCGGCGCTCGGCGGTCGGCTGCACGGGGTCCAGGGGCAGCGTCGCGGGTCCAGGGGCGGCTGCACGGAGTCCAGGGGCGGCTGCACCAGGGGCGGCTGCTACAGGGGCCAGGGGCAGCTGCTTCAGGGGCCAGGGGCGGCTGCTCGGGGTCCAAGGGCGGCTGCTCCAAGGGCGGCTGCTGCAGGGGCCAGGGGCGGCTGCTCTGGGTCCAAGGGCGGCGCTCGAGGGTCCAGGGGCGGCTGCACGGAGTCCAGGGGCGGCTGCACCAGGGGCGGCTGCTCTGGGTCCAGGGGCGGCTGCACCAGGGGCGGTTGCTTCAGGGGCCAGGGGCGGCTGCTCTGGGTCCAGGGGCGGCTGCTTCAGGGGCCAGGGGCGGCTGCTCTGGGTCCAGGGGCGGCTGCACCAGGGGCGGCTGCTTCAGGGGCCAGGGGCGGTCGCTCGGGGTCCAGGGGCGGCTGCTCCAGGGGTGGCTGCTGCAGGGGCCGTGAGCGGCTGCTCTGGGTTCAGGGGCGGCTGCTCCAGGGGCGGCGTAGCTGGTGCAGGGCAGCGCGCGGGTCCCACAGGCGCCGTGACGGGCGACGGGAGGCAACGCGCCGTCACCGGAGGAGGCGACGTGCGGGGCCGGCGGCAGGCTAAAACGGGGCCGAAAAATGGGCTTTGGGGCGGCGGACGCGACGCGCAGGGCCTAAGCAGGCTGCGCGCGGGCGGCTCACGCGACGCGCGGGCCGGCGGCAGGCTGCGCGGGCGGCTGACGTGGCGCGCGGGGCCAAAAACAGGCATAAATGGGCCTAAACGGGCTGCGCGCGGGCTGCTTAAGAGGCGCGCACGGGAAACAAAAAGGGCTGCGCGCGTGCAGCCGAGGCGCGTGCGGGCAATAGGCAAGGTAGGTAGGCACGTGAGGTAGGTAAAAAATAAACGGTGGGCCCTAATCCTAGGTCCTAAGGACCTATGCTCTAGATGCCATGCTAGAGTCTTAGGCAAGGATGAAGTTTTTTAACTATCGAGAGAGTTGGTACAAAGGAGAAATCTAAGGGGTTGTACCCCACAGTGAGTACCCCACTAAGCCTACCCAAACTATAAACATAGATATATGTTTGACACCAATGAGAGCGAGCGGTTCTTGCTCATGATGCAAGTTCGAGCTGAGAAGTGAGTTTGCAGCTGTTCGTACCACTAGATTTGGGGGAATAGGATTGGCTGATGTTCGTGAGCGTGTTATTAGCGTGTTTGTTAGCGTGTTCGTAAGTGTGTTCATTAGCGTGTTAATTAGTGTGCTCAGTAGCGCGAGCGTCATATCCTCGCGAGTTGTTTTTCTGCGCAGGTGGTAGATCACCAAGATTTCGAGTAAGTTCGGTTGCTCACGTTTTTTGGTAGCACTGACAGTTCGGATCAAAAGTAAGTTCGGAACGAGGGCATGTGGCGAGCAGCAGCTGAGCGATCGGATGCAATTCTGATCGGCACCGACATTTCGACTCGTTCAGGTTTTGAACGGACTTCATCGCAACCATTCGAGATTGGCGCAAAGTGAAATTATCGGATCGGCACCGTCAACAATGTTCGCGCGCGAATGACGAAGTATTTCGGTGATGCATCGAGTGCGCGCCAGGTCATGAAGGGAATGGGAGGGAACTTGAAAATCTGCTCGCGCTACGAGGTGTGAATTTGAAACACCTTGATCAAGGTAGGAGCAGAATGATTAGCTTAGTATAAAACTGGTTGTTCTTGTTGTTCCAAAATATAACTTTGGTAAAGGATTTCCCCTGTGCCTGCTGCAAGTACGCTGCCATAGTTAATTCTCTTCACAACGCCAAGGAAGGGACGATTGCTACTACACTTTAGCTGTTGCTAAGACGCTCTCTCAACACACTCAGACCCTTGGATGAGGGCTGACCTCGGTCAGGCACCCTAGGACCCTCGGAGGTGACCCTGAGGAGAGAGTTCTAGTGCACTTAAAGGTCGTTAGTAGCAACTCTAGTACTCTAGTATGCTTTTTGGCTGACAAAATCAGATTTCGAAATTCCGTTATAGACAAATAATTTACATAGCGAATAGACAACTTTATAAATAATATACTTGTTACATGAAACCCAAATACTATCACTAGTTCCTTGCTAAAAAAAAAAACAAATTTCAAAGTATAGCAACAAAAGATAGCGAAGCAGCCGATTCAATATGCACTCTTAAAGTAGAGACACCAGGAACAAATCTCAACAATGGCATGGTAGTAAGAGTGTTGAGTGCAATATATGGTTTGCACGGCAACATACCGCCTATTCGCCGACGGTAAAAGAAAATGGGGAGTTTTGTTTGACGGTAATTTGTGGCGTGAGAAATGTTCATTTTGCATTTTGTGTGTGCGCATTTTGTTTGTGTTCTATGCACATTGGTCCTTGCATTTTGTGTGTTTTGTTTTCATTTGTAATTGCATTTTGTGTTTGTGCATTTTTAGTTTCGTGTTCACTGTTCTCATGATGCGCTCAAATGAGGCTCACATGATGCGCTCAAATGAAGCTCTCATGAAGCGCTCAAATGAGGCTCCCATGACGCGCTCAAATGAAGCTCAAATGAAAGCTCAAATGAAAGCTCAAATGAAAGCTCTCATGAAGCTCCAATGAGCCGCAAATGAGCTTCCCATAAAAGTCTCATTTGTGTGTAATGTTTCATGCGTGGCTCATGCGAGCGAGTGGTGTATCGTGGGGTGTTTGTGGGGCTCGATACTTTGACTGGTCAAACGGAGTGCTGTTGACTTTCGCGCTGGTCAAGCACGCGAAATCTCGACCGCGCGTGTGGTCCTGATTTCGCGTGTGGGCGCTGAGGACCCGAGCGTGTGCTCGTGCACTGTTGCGAGCGTGGCAGGGCCCACGATCGCAACAAGACAGGGCGAATGATTGTCAAAAGTACGAGAAAAAAGTTTAGAAGCAAGAAATGAGGGGTTGCACTAGCAAGCAGTTGAGTACATATAGGAAACCTTAGATTGGGTTGTACTCGCTATAGAGTACCCCACTGCGGGCTAGACAAATACAACATTCTGTCACACCCCCATAGCCAAAGTGGGGTGTAATCAGCAGAGCACGCAGTCATAGAATAGTTCATAAGCACAAGTAAAGCTAGAGGTAGTCACAGAGGGCATGTGAGGAGGAGGAGGGACTGTGAGAGGAGAGGAGATGGGAGGCGACGGCGGAAGCTGCAAACACACAGGAGCTGCTGGCTTAGTGGCTACCGAAGCAATGACCCGGACTACAGGAGTAACTGGCTCTGCGGAGATTGTAGCCTCCTGTCTGGAGCAACTGACCCACAGGCGACTGGCGACTACCGGAGATTGTAGCCTCCGCACTACTGGTGTTGGTGGCGACACGACTGCGACCTCCGCTCAACCTCCGCCAACTGCCCCACGCCCCTAGCACACACCCCCTGCTGCACCCCTAGCTCCACTCCCACGTCACCCCCCTAGCACCACTCCTTCGGCTCCCACACACCCACCCCCCTGAGCGGCAGCTGCAGCAGCGGGAGACGGAGGAGGAGGAGGAGTAGGGGACGGCGCACACAACCGGCACCCCCACAACCGCCACCCCCACACTCCCCACCCCCAAACCCTAAAACAGGTGGCACGAGGCAGGAGCGCGGGGGACGGCGAGGGGGACGGCGCGCGGCCCCCAAGGCGCCACCACGGGGCAGCAAGGGGGGTCGCGCACGGCTCTAGGGGTGGCGCGCGGCCCCTAGGGCGCCACCACGGGGCAGCGATGGGCCGCGCGCGGCTCCTCAAGGCGCCGCGACGAGGCAGCGGGGGGGTCGCGTACGGCTCCAGGGGTGGCGCGCGGGTCCCCGCGGGCGACGCGAGGGTCGACGGGGGTGGCACGCGGGTCCCCTGAGGCGACGCGAGGGTCGACGGGGTGGGCGCGCAGGTCCAGCGGGGTCGGTGCGCCACGAAGATAAGGGGCCGCGCGCCTCGGGGCGCGCGCCAGAGAGCAAATCGCCGCGCGCTGAAAAATACGTCGCACGCCACGGGGCGTGCGACAGATCGAGTAGCAGCGGAAGCAGGTTGGTGGGCCCATAGGCCAAGGAAGGACAGGCTCTGATAGCATGTCAAAAGTACGAGAAAAAGTTTAGAAGCAAGAAAAGAGGGGTTGCACTAGCAAGCAGTTGAGTACATATAGGAAACCCTAGATTGGGTTGTACTCGCTATAGAGTACCCCATTGCAGGCTAGACAAATACAACATTCTGACAATGATCGCCCCGCCCACGCGCAGTACAGCACGACCAGTTTGTCTAGTCGTGCATGATTGCGCACCAGAGGGGTGCACGTGTGTTTCAAGTGGGTGCTACGGGATTCCGAAGGATGCTCGGAATTCACAGTTGAAAAACTATTTTTCGGAGTTGACTCACGGAACAAGAAATTGCGCACGAAAGTCACACCGCTTTGCGGAATGATTTCGACGCAGGTACAAAACGGTTATTCCGTTTTTTCAACGGTAAAAACCGTTTTACAACTGTTTGCTCGCATGAAATTGGAACTCATGAGTGCACTCATTTGAGTCAGCAAGGTAATTGTCATATGTGGAATTCGAAGACAGGTATTTTCAAGAGGATAATCAAGCCAAATTCGCAT